ACGGTTTTACCTACGGATCCAGCGCGTCAGCAGGCTGGAACGTGGGAACAAGGCCTGGACTGCAGCGTTGCCGTGCCGTTGGAGGAAGCTGAGGCATTATCCAGGGAGCGGGGGCGGGCAGGAAGACGGGCAGGAAGACGGGCGCCAGCCGTCGGCTGCGATCCGAGCGGTCCTGACCACGAACAATCTCTCTTGCCGGGGGTTGGGGCTAAGTCAGCACCCCCTCTGCGCAGCTCCGCTGGATGCAGCGTGACGGAACGGGGCCCAGTCGCAAAGGGGGCGAATCAGGCGCGGGCTCATCAGGGAGGCGACCCAGAGTCTGAGGTGCTGGCATCCGGCTCATCCATCACACACCGATGCGATGAAATATGGCGGCAGGGGTGATTCGACGCCAGGCCAATCAGAGGCGCGTGCGCGGGCGAGTCGATTGCACGTCGCACCTCCTCTGCGCATCCACGCATGCGGCCCTGGGACGGGGCTGACGACAGTCGAGCGGCAGTGTGGCAGCGCAGGGTGTGGGGCGCTGCGGCCAGTATCAATCGGATCACACGCAGATCTGGTGGGCAGATCCAGAAGGCGCGCCGCGGTGACGAGGATTATTGCAGTGCAGATGCGGCGCAGGAAGGCTTCTGGAAGACTGCGGGAAGGGGATTGCGACGGGAAGGCTAGGCTAATGCCACGTGTTAGTGGAGAACGAGGAGAGCGGGTTGAGCGGGTACGGACGAAGCTGCAGCGGGTGAGCGGCCATGCGGCCATGCGGCCATCTGCTCTGCCCGTGGGCCACGCCGGTTCCTTTCTGGTTCCGGGCGCTGCGCGATCGTGCGGTGGGCTGCGGTGGGCTGCTGAGGGCGGCGCGGGGTTGGAGCGCGCACGCTGCCCTGGTGTTGGCGTGTTGCCCTGGGGTGGTGGTGTTGGCGGTGCCATGTTTCGCGTCACGTCGTGCTAGCTGGCACAGGCTCACAGCCTTTGAGCCGCCGGTCCAGCGACAACAATAGTGAGAGCGCCGCCCAAGCACCCAACGCATGCAGCGAACGTCGTTGCCCGCCCCCTGGCTCCCAGCGGCTCCCAGCGGCTCCCAGTCCCCCGCCCGTCACGTGCGCATGGGCCCGTCTCCCACCGCACGTTTCCGACGACGCTGTCAACCACGAGGTGGCTGCGGCGATCCCGCACACGCCCGTCCGGCCTGTCCACGCGATCCCCCAGCTGCGCCGCGCCGCCGCGCCGCACGCCGCAAACCGTGGCACCGTGGCACCGCAATTGCGGCGGCCCTGCGGTGGTTCGCCGGCCGCCCTTACGTGCTTTGGGCCGAGTTGCGACGCTGGAATGCGCTACGGACTGCATCATGCCGCCGCAAAATTCGACGCGCCCCTGGCTTGCCTTGCTCGACCTAGCCGCAGTCGATCAAGGTGCCCCAAGTGCCCCATATTTCAAATCGCCTGCCAATCGCGACCCCCGACCCGGTCAGTGCAGCCACGCTGGCTGCTGAAGCTCGCCGTTGGAGCTGTGATGCCATGTTGACTCTTGCGGCTACCGCTTCGGGAAGCAATGCGAGAGCTGCTGAGTCGCCGCGGCATCTTCCACCTGAGTGCCCGGGCCTGCGCATGACGGCATGCCGGCACTGCTGGAAAGACGGGCGGCGGCGGCGGCGGCCATGGGCTGACCAGGCACCCAGGCACCCAGGCACCCAGGCATCCAGGCTGCCAGGCTCGCAGGCTCCGCCGCCCGCACGTCCACAGCCGTCTTCACGAGAAAAGAAAAAAAAAAACCACCCCCCCAGCAGATGCAGGTGCAGAATCGCCAGATCGGGCGACGCGCTAGCTGCCGGGACCCGCCGCATTCCAACGCTGCTGTGCAATGATATAGCGACCGTCGCCGTACAGGTGTCGGAGAGGGTGCCGGCCGCCTAGTCAGCACACCGGACGCGCTCGGGCGCGCGCGCTGGCAAATTTGGGCAGGCGGCGGCTGCGTGCTCGGCAGGCCATGCGGCAGCAGGAGCCTGCTCACCACCGTGCCACGTGGAAATCGGTGCCGGCCCTATTTGGCTTCGGTCTCATGACTCGCCGCCAGCACGGCTCAGGGCGGCTCGAGAGCGATCCGCGCTCGCAAGCGCGGTTCTCGTCATCTCGACGAGAAGTCTGGCGCGTCGAGACGAGGCGTCCCGGGAATGAGCCAGCGCGGTGGACGGCTTATATCCGCGCCGCCGGGGGAGCGAGCGAGCTGCGAGCGAGCCTCTCCGGCGGCGATGCTGCAACCGCGCCTGGTGCCACACTCGCACGCCGAGACGCACGCAATGCGACCGTGCCTAGCAGGTGCGGCAGCGCCCGTGCTGGTGCTGGTGCTGGTGCTGGTGGTGCAGGGCCTGGCGTTCGCTTTGTACCCGCTGCAGCAAATATTGTACTGGCTGTGTTCCTGTGCCTGGACCGCCGGCGTTAGCGGCCTTGCACTGGCCTGCTATCTCCTGCCGCCACTAGCCCTAAAGGGGCGACCATGCACTTCACCGTCTGCAGCAGCGCGGGCGCCCTCGCTCCTTCGCTCGCCCGCCATGGCCGTCCGTCATCCAGTCTTCTGCCAGCCCATGGCTGCGCTGAGGGCCGCACCGCGCTGCCGGGTTCGCCAAGATGGAGCGCATTGTCAGACTCGTTTCGGTCTCGCGTGCGGCCAAAACCGAGCGTTTTGGATTGAGCGCAACGTGGGGTCGGCGCCGCACGTGTGTACACAGTAGTGCGCGCGCGCGCGCGCGCTGCCGGAGCAATGTGCGGCGGTCGGGGCCGCTGCGTTCAGAGCGCGCCAAACGCGCACCCGCCGGCCGCCGAGGAAGAATGGGCTAGAAGTATAAGGGAGCTGTGCAATTTCCAGAGGGCCGGCGTTGGAGGCATGGCTGGCTGTGCGCGCGCCGGTGTGGCGGGCGGCCATGCAGCCAGGAACATGCCTGCGTGCCTGGCATTGGCTGAGGACGAAGGACACCCGCGGCGCATCCCGGCCGCAAAACGTGGCCTGGGTGCGGGGAGGCACGTGGTGGCATGGGAGGCAGGCAGAGATGAAGATCTCAAAGGCGATCCCCACTGCTGCGTCGTTGCCGGCCGAGCAGCGGTGTGGCCGTCAGCCCGCCGCTCAACACGTGCGGCAACGCATGCGACAGGTCAGCTTGCCCGCGCCCGCCATTTTGCCAGGCCGCCTCGCACCAGCCCGGCAGCCCAGCAGCCCAGCAGCCTGCATGCCCGCTTGCGGCCGACGACAGGACTCATAATAGCCAGCCGCCCGGCTGTCTGCTTCCGTATGTGCAACACCGCCCGCCTGCCCCCGCTTCGCTCCCCCTTCTGCGCTTGTCGCCAACAAACGCCCGGCTGGCGCGCGTCCACCTCCAGCCTCGTGCTGCAAACCGACGACCTGCCCCCGGTGGAGCGGCGGTTCTAGAATGCACTCACACTCTGCCCGGCCCCCCTCCGCTGCTGCTGGGCCTTTCGCGCGCCGCAGGCGGCAGGTCTCAGCGCGCGCGCGCGTTACACGGCAACGGGGCGGCCAGGACAGTGACGAGGGCCAACGGTGCTGCAGCTCTGAAACCCGGGTCAGCACCTTGGGCCGGGCAGAGCTTGAAGAAAACGTGCTAGACGGCTGCACAGCCGAGAGCGCCCCGGATGAGAGCCGAATGAGTTGCAGCGGCTCTGCAGGCGCGCGGCGGCTGGGCTTGGTGCAGGTGGGCGCAAGGGGAGGGCTGCTGCTGGCTGGCGAGCTGTCTGACGGCAGGCGCGCGGCCGGGCGAGTTGCACGCCCACGCCGCCTTTTTGTTTTCTGTGCCCTGGGCCGGCTCCATTGCCCGCCCCTCCTGCCCGCCTAGGGCCCTGGCGGCTCGCACGCACGCACGCATGCATTCCAGCGCCCTTTCTCGAACTGTCGCGCGCCGCCCGCCGCGTGTGTCTTGTGTGTCTTGCCCGCCGCCCCAGCACCGCAGCGTGCTCGCGGCGCCGCAGGGCAGCCGGCGCGCGCATGGCATGATGCAGAGCGCGCGCGGCCGTGCTTGCGGGCTTGGCGTGTCAGAGTGACAGCAATACGAACCCACTTATCTTGTGACAAACTCGATCAACTTGCAAGGATTATCGCGTGGGAGCCACAGGGGCCGAGGGAGGCGGCCTCTGTGGCCGGGGCGCACTTGCGAGCGATGGCGGACGCCATACGATCATCCTAAGGCCCGCGTCTTGCTAGGTCGGTCGGTCGATTCGTGAAGTTAAACCCTGAGCCGGCTAGTCAGCGTACCCACCTTTAGGCCAAAAGACTCCCTCGCGACGCTCTGATGCCGCATACTATTGCTTCTTCTCCCTCGCCCGCCCGTCTCGAAGCTACGTCGAGACTTCTTCCCACCACCACTCCTCCACCCACCCCTCTCATCACCACTCTCTCCGCCTGTTGCTTCGGCTCCCGCAGCGCGCAGCCCTCCCGCCCAGCGCCCGCTGCCCCTGCCCGCCCTGTGCCTGCCGCCCCGGCTTCGCTGCATCGTCGAGCCCAACTGGCCGCACCCAGCCCGCACCCGCAGACCCGCCCTCCACCGCGGTCTGGTAGACTTCAGCTGGCTGTCTCGCCGCCGACCCGAGCCTGAACAGCCAGCCCTCGCCAGTGACCGGGACTGAGAAAGGCAGCGTCCGCGCACTCGCCCCGACGAAGCGTCATCGCCCGCCCCAAGCCCACGCCTCCGCAGCACCAAACCCTGCGAGGCCGCAAATCGCTGACCGGGAATCGCGCGACGGTCCCGACAATCCGACTGCGCAATCGGTGAAGGTGCTGCCACAGACGCAGAGCGTGCCCTATCCGGAAACGCCGTCTCACAATCCCTCCGCGCCACCCAAAACCACGGCCTCACCCCGCCGACTGCCCAGTGCCGCGCACAACAGCTCCGGCGACTCATCCATTGACCACGGCGTGCGTCAGCCCTCCCGCCTTCTATAAACCTCGAGAGTCCCGCCTCCGTCTCGCCAGCACAGGACCCCGCTCGCGCCAAGGATCCCAAGATGCATCAGACTTCGTCGAGATTGCTTCGGATGACCGACGATGATCGGCCGTTCACGAGAGTAAGTCCATTGCCCCCTCCCCTTCGCACCCTTGTCTCTTCGTTCCCGGCACGCAACGCCTCGATGGTGGAGGAGGAATTGGGGGGTCCAATGCGACGCTGCGGGGCCGTGGGCGGCGACACGGGCGAGGAAACAGCTGGCTGGTGCCATTGGCCTCTGGGCCGCTGAGCGTCCTGCCGTTGCTGTCCCACAAGCCTCCCGCCCTTCCGAAGTTCCACCATGGCCCTCGGAGCACGTTTCTTAGGCCCGACAGGCGTCATTGACTGGGCGAGACATCCGATCGCTTCGGATCTGAAAACGTGTCGGGAGCGATCATTGATCTGTCGTTGCGTTGCTTTTTGGATCGCTTGCCGCCAATTCCGGGGTCCGAACGCAGCTGACACATCCGCCTGCAGGATTTCAAAGATCTCTTCTCCACGCTCATGGTCAGCCTGCCCCTGTCGCCGCATCGCGTAAGATGGCAAAAGGTCGACCACAGTTTCACCTCGGAAGAGGCCATGACCAACCTGGGCTCGCTAAAGTTCTCCCAATCGAACCGCATGCCGGACCCCAAGGATCCTTCCAGGATCGTCACCACCACGACCACCACCACCTTCTCAATGGCCAAGGAGATGGCCCGCTCGGTCTGCCAAAAGTTTTTGGAGGCTCGCTTCATCGAGTCTGTTGAAGGAAAGACGGATTTCATGTCCAAGACGTCGGTTTGGCAGATGACCCCTAAGGGCATGCACGTGCTGCAGCGTTTCTGCCAGCGCAATGGTATCAACCAGAAGCACGTCTACGAAGTCCTCGACTCTCCTCGCAACACCATGCACCTGGTCATTCTGGAGCGTGAGACCGAGACCGATAAGCTCAACCACGACAACGCCACGACCGAGGTCGTCTTCCGTCGTTTCGTCGGCCACGAGGGACCCAATGCCAAGGTAAACACCGCCGCGGCCGACTCCGACTCGCTGAACGAGTACTCGACCGGCCTGGTGGGTGTCAAGATGGCAAGGGAACGTAAGATCGGTGATAAGGTCTACATGAACACCTTCACCGGAAAGGCCGCGGTGGACTGGCTCATGGACTGCAGCACCATGGTCGACAAGAGGGAGGCATTCGAGATGTGCGCGCTTTTCTATGAGTTTGGCCTGATGGCGTCTGTTGAGGCGTTCCCCAACCCCGGCCGTTTCCAACCCACCAAGAGCGCCATTTACTACGTTACCGAGAAGGGCCAGCGGACTGCTGGCTGGATTCAGAGCCCGAAGACGTCTCTCAACGGCGATGCCGCACCTTCCAACAGGCCCCGCGAAGGCACAACGAGGGATTCCAACGCGAACCGCATGACCGTCATCATCCGCGACCCGGCCCTCCGTCTGCTTTTCAGAGAATTCCTCCGGGAGACGCATTGCGAGGAGAACCTGTCCTTCTACTTGGATGTCAGCGAGTTCCTCAACGGTTACAAGGGTGCGAAGAGAGCGAATGCGACGCCGAAGCTTGAGGTCATCAGGGAGACGCTCGCAGCGGCATACAGTGAGTTACCCCCTTATCGAAAGAAAAAAAAAAGTCCATGCAATCCTAACCAAAACCAGGCTTGTACAACGCTTTCCTTGCCCCTGGCTCCCCTTGCGAACTGAACATCGACCACAGCCTGAGAACGGCGCTTGCAGCTCGCATGACCCGAGCGGTTGGTGACGATGATGCCATGGTGAGGAGCTTGGACGAAGTTGCGACCCTGTTCGATCAGGCGCAGAACTCCGTCTTCAAGCTCATGGCCAGCGTAAGTGTGCTACAATCCGTGCGTTCCTGGATGGCATCCTAACAGTTTTGCAGGACTCTGTGCCCAAGTTCATGAGGGAGCCCAAGTACGCCTCCGTCATCCGCGACCGCAACCTGGATGCCGCTCCTGCCATTGCTGCTTCATAAAAGCGAAGCGATGCCTTGCCTCGATCGCCCCAATCTGAAACAGACGCCATCCCACGCTCCGAGGCGCGCGCCCCTACGCCCGCCAAGTAACAAACGGAAACCACAACATGGCGGCGGGCATCCCGCGTTGCAGGAGTCCGCCCGGCGGCAGATGCGGAAACAGCGCACGAGTCTCCTCGGAGGCTTTGCACAGCCTCTGCTACCGTGCGCAGGACATGGAGCTTCCTGGGATGGGGCCATTACAACCTTCGGTTCATATTTGTCTTCCTTTTGCTATTTATATTCTGCTTTACGATTGGGTTCTTCGATATCCTTGTTCGCATTGGGTCCGACAGGGCCCTCTCCACTCTTTCTTTGGCTTGTTTTTTTTTATTTTTTATTTTCTAGTATGATGTCTGCTTTGTTGCGCGACATTCACGGCACACGGGTCTAGACTGGCGTTTCCGGGCCTTTTTTGAAAAACAAGAGCTTCTCATAGTTGGATAGCCTAGACTCAGGTTATTCCGCGCGTTTTGCCTATTCGGATTGGAAAGGGATTTTTAGTTCAGGGGCGGTGGTGGATTTTAGTGGCAAGCATCGGGGACTGGGGAAGGAAGAGCGCTAGAGAGTTTTGAGGGAGTCGAGGCTCAGCAACGCCGACATGTATCATACTGTCTAGGAATCAACGAACCTGCAAATTCACAAATCCTTCCAGGCCCAAAAAAGACCATGCCAATGCCAAATGCCAATGCCAAATGCCAATGCCAAAGCCAGCCTCCGCCGGTGGCCGGGTGATGATGTAATCTGGCCGTCCCGTGCTTCTGCGTTTAACGCGAAAAGGCGCGACTGCCTGCGCTGCTGACTCGTCGCGTCGACGCCCGTCATTGCACCACCCACCGTGATGCCATGCGACGTCGCCGCGCCGCAGAGCATATAAACGCCGCGCCTGTTGCCTGGTAGCCGCCCAAACCCTTCCTCTCCGCTCCTGCCACAGCAATGGGTCCCCCGCCAAACGTGAGTCGCGCCTTCCGCCCACCGCGCCCGCTGGCTCACAGCGCCGCCGAGGCACCACATGGCGAGATGCGCTGGCATGGCTAACGCGTGAGCAATGCAGTCCCAGGCGGCGCCTCTGCCAAAGGATCTCCCCTTTCGCGTCGTGTCCAAGACCATCGGACAGGGCGCGTATGCGTTGTAAGTGTCTCACTTCATCTAGCACACCAACCCGCGCTGACGGTAGAGCACACAGCATCCGCAAGGCCGCCCCTCTGACCGCATCAAACCCCGTCATCGCCGTCAAGTTCATAAACAAAGAGCACGCGTACCGCACCGGCCGCCTGAAACCGAACCAGATCCAGCACGAGGTTACCCTCCACAAGCACCTGGGCCGACACCACAATGTGATACAGTATCTCAGCCACGGCGAGGACCGTCTGTACACCTGGATAGCCATGGAGCTGGCAGACGGCGGCGACCTCTTCGACAAGATCGAGGCCGACGAGGGTGTGGGCGAGGACGTGGCCCACCTGTACTTCACGCAGCTGGTCAACGCCGTGAGCTACATGCACTCCAAGGGCGTGGCGCACCGCGACATCAAGCCCGAGAACATGCTGCTCTCCGTCAACGGGGACCTCAAGCTGTCCGACTTTGGTCTCGCCGCGCTGTTTCAGATCAGCGGCAGGAAGCGTCTCTGCAACAGCGTGTGTGGGAGCCCGCCCTACATCGCCCCGGAAATCGTGGCCGGCAAGAAGTCCAAGGCCATCGACGTGCTGGACAAGGGCTACGAGCCCAACATTGCCGACATCTGGTCCTGCGGCATCGTGCTCTTCGTGCTGCTGGTCGGCAACACGCCCTGGGACGAGCCGACACGGGCCAGCTACGAGTTCAACGAGTATTTGCAGACCAAGGGCCGCACGACGGACGAGCTGTGGAAGAAAATACCGCCAGGCGCCACGTCGCTGCTGCGGGGCATGCTCAAGATAGACCCGCAGGAACGCTTCACGCTGGACGAGATCCGGACGCATCCCTGGTACACGCGCAGCAACCCTCACCTCAGCCAGTCGGGCACGGCGGCCAATCCCATCCTCCTGGCCACGCAGATGCTCGAGTCGCTGCGCATCGACTTCAACGCCGACCCGACGGCGTCGCAGCGCGAGCATCGGCAGCGCTACAGGGACGCCATGGAGGCCGGCAACCAGCCCGTCCGGTTCGCGGCCACGCAGCCCGAAACCCTCATCATGGACACGTCCTTCGAGTGGGAGCAGCCGCCACGCCTGGCCATCAGCGAGAACTTCAGCAGCTCGCAGCCAGCGCCAGAGCGAAGGACGATGACGACGACGACGACGGCGGCGGCGGCGGCGGCGGCCACCACCAACAGCTCGCGAGCAGCAGCGTCAGCGTCGGCGTTGTCGCACGAGCTGCTCGGCCGCCTCGCCGCCGACGACCCGTCGCTCTCGCAATTCACGCCCGCGCCGGCGGTGCCGCTGAGCCTCACGCAGGCGGCGCGCCAGTTCGCCGACATCATGCCCCGGCACTCGCTGGCGCGCTTCCTCAGCCTACTACCGCTCGCATTACTACTACCATCGCTGGGCGAGGCGCTGCACCGCGTCGGCGTGCCCGTCGCGCCCTCGACCTTTTCGGCCGGGGCCCGCCGCGGCGACGAGCCGTCGTACATTCGCGTCAAGACGGTCGACGGCCGCCAGCAGCTGCTGTGCGGCACCATCGTCGTGGAGCGCATCGACGACGCCGACGGCGACGTCAGCGAGGTGCGGTTCGTGAAGGCGAAGGGGGACCCGTTGGAGTGGCGGCGGTTCTTCAAAAAGATCGTCGTGTTGTGCAAGGATGCGATTTATGTGCCTGCGGCTTAGCTGGTTGATCAGGCGGGGGGCAACGGGAGGGGGGCAGGGCACGCGTGAGAGATTGATGATGAAGGTTATGAATTATTGGGCTTGTTTTTTTTTTCTTTTCTTCTTCTTTGTGATTTTCTTCTTTTTTTTTCCTTCCCTTTTTTTTATCGTCCGCCAATCGGATGGATAGATAGCGCTTTCGGTTCCATTGCTCGTCAAGAAGAGACGAGGGAGAGAGAGCGTTAATAGCGAGCGGCCGGATAAGGGGGGAGATTCTTTTTTGAGAAGAGAGAGAGATATATATATACCCTGGGGAGTGGAGAAAGTTTGAAGAAAAAGCGAATGGGTTGGATGGGGTAAGGAATAAGGAGATGAAAGAAATTGAGTCTTGCTATCAGTTCGTTTTTTTGCTTTTCTGTTGCTCACTCCATTGCTACGGGGGAGTAGAAGGAGGATGTAGAGAGAGCGTGGGACCCAATATGACAAGCAAGCAAGCAAGCTTTACGGCTGGTCGCTTCGGTCGGTGGACTTTATCTCGTCCAGTTTCTTTTCTTTTTTTTCACTTCTTTTACATCGAGCTTGTGCTTTAGACCGAGAAGGTTCATTTGTCCATCTTAATAACGGTAGTCTCGAGAAGATTTTGTTTTTGTGAGAATCTGTCCCTTCTTTTGTTTTTTTGGTTCTTTATTAGTGTGATGTATCGCGGTGTCCCCGGCAGAGGTTGACTTCTTCTTCTTCTTCAAAATCGGATTGCCCAAGACAGTGGGCTTCACGTCGGCTTTTCCGCATAGAGGTATAAAGGAGGGTATGTATGTAAGCGTCCAGATGATTGGACTAGTCAGTGCTGGTGGACCTTTCGAAAGCGCGTCCGCACGCACACTTCTTCGCGTCTGCTGTTTCTTTGGAAAATTACGTGCTCCGCTGTGATGCGGTGCCGTACCGGAGTGGCTGGCGTCGGGCTTTGGGTGTGGAAGAGGGACGATGGTACACAAGGACGGTTGGACTTGGAGAATGATACACGACGTGCCGTCGTCTCGACTGTGGCGAAGAGAAAGGTTCAGTTGTGAGGCTGGCTGGCTGGCTTTCGTGTAGAGAACGTTGCATTGGTCGGGGTTCTTCGAATCTGTTGTTTTTGCTGTACTGGTTTGTTGGATGATGAAGAGACGATATCTGCTGTTGTTGTTATTGCTGCTGTTGTCGTTGCATGTAGACCAAAAGCATGTGACGTATAAATAGAAGAAGAAAGCAAGTGGTCTCGGCTGCGGTGATCGTCCGTCGATCTTCCACCTCTAATAAAGGCAGGGTTCGTAGCTAAGAGAGAGAGAGAGACCTGGATTTGGAAGAGGTGGAAGTTTGGGGCGAGCATTTGCTCTCGCTACGCTGCTATCATGCATATATGTTTACTGATATCCCGGGTCAATAACATTCAGACAAGATGTGTTCGTGGGCGCGCATTAAACATCCAGATGGAGATACTGGTGTTATATCACCAGTCTCAACGGAAAAAGTCCGTCCGTCCTTCTCCAGGGTCACTGATAAGTCAGCAAGCTCCTCCCAACTCATCAGTATGGGAATTCGCTATGCGATAACAAAGCAACAAAAGCTGTTTCAAGACGTAGCTACTCTCTCAGTTGCGTCGTTTCGATTATTCAAGGACTCCCTTCGTCATGGAAAAAGGAGCCCCTTGATCCGGCTACCTGCCCTCCCAGCATCTATCAGGTATCCACCACTCTCACATCTTTTGCATCATTAAGAGTGAGATATCCTCACAACTTTTCAGCATCCGTCGTCCTTCATGGAGGTAAAACAAAAAACAAAACACACGAGCCCACTTGCTTGCAACCGGCTTTTCTTTTCGCGCTCCGTCCTCTAAACTTCACTTTGCGGGGGGCAAAACAGATAAAAAGAAGAATGAAGATGTTGTGATATTCCAAGCCCCCAAACACCATGTTTTTTGTTCCCACCCGAAACAATGCCTCATGATGCGTGAGTTCCAAAAGCACGGCTTTTCGGGCCACCGATTCGCTCTCTCGCTCTCTTCTTTCGTTTCCCGCCTTGTGGGGGAAACGAGGCCCCTTTCTCGTTTCTGTGAGCAACGCTCACTGCTCGCGGTTCTGACGGTCCCGGTCCTGACGACCGCCCTTCCTGCGCTCGCCCTGGCCGCCCTTCTGGCCGCCTTCGCCGGAGAGGGCGTCGCCACCGCCGAGAGTGAGAGCGGCCGTTGCTAATCTGTTGGACAGGTCGATCTGGGTGCGGATGGTGTTGGCGAGGTAGGAGACGACGAGGACATCCTGGATGTGGTTGTTGCTGTGGCACGTTAGCATTTCGGCCGGGACGAGTGAGAACAAGGATTACGTACAAGTCACGCTCAATGTCGGCCGGGTCGACCTTGGGGGCCAGGGAGAGGGCGTTCATGAGGAACTGGCCGAGGGCGCTCGAGGGCTGGGCCTCCTCGTCCAGAACGTTGTTGACGTAGTTGGAGACGCGGTCCAGCATCTCGAGAACCTGCTCGACGGCGCGCTCCAGGGACTCGATGTCGGTGAGGATGGCCTGCTCGCGGCTCTCGGTGTCCTTGGCGGCGGAGATGAGCTCCAGACCGCTCTTCTCAGCCTCGCCGTACTTGATCTCGTGGGGCACGGGCAGGAACAGGCAGCTGTCGGCGGCGCGCTCGGCGGTGACGCCAATGGGGGCGGAGATGTAGGTGCGGGCCTCGATGTCCTTGCCGGGGACGGTGGAGACGGTCAGATGCACGGCGGGGTGGGGCCAGGTGCCGTCGCCCTGCTGGCCGTAGAAGTTCTGGATCAGGGCGGAGAAGGTGTTGAGCTCGGCCGACGTGGCGTACCAGCCGACCAGGACCTCGCGCGGGTTGGCGCGCAGGTGCAGCTGCAGCATCTGCTTCTGGTAGTCCATGTCGACCTCGACCTGCTCCTGGGTCTCGGTGTGGGGGACGGCGTAGCAGTTGCGGATCTCGATCTCGGAGCCATCCTCGCTGCGGACACCGAGCAGGGTGCCGATGACGCGCTCCTGGTCGGGGTTGCGGCGCAGCGAGTGGTCGAGGATGGAGAAGAGGGCCTGGGCGGGGTCAGCTGTGAGGGCGGACGCGTGAGAGAGCAGGACGCACTTGAGGTTGCAGCACGACGTTGAGTGGGGCGGAGGACGGCTGGGCGCCGATGTGCGCGGGGCCCAGCGGGCGGGCGAGGTGCAGGAACGAGTCGGTGTCGGCCATGGTGTCGATTAAGGGCTGGCGGGGCGGAGACGAGGCGGACGGGGGAGCGGCGGAGGGCGTGGAGGGAGAGGGCGTGGCAGCTGGAAGCTGGAATATCTTTTGGCGATACCCGGCGTTGGCGCGCGCACAGATGGTGTGTGGATATTCGGTGCGAATTTGAGAGTCAAGCGATTAGATAACTACGGCGCCCGACGCCGACCGCCCGCGCAGAAACTTTTTGTGCACGCCTTCCGCCCCAGCTCTGCCGCCCGCAAACACCAACCCTGCAATATGGCGCCGTTCCGTGGACGAGGCGGCTTCAGAGGCCGTGGCCAGGGCAGAGGACGCGGCCGCGGCCGGGGCGGTGCGCGCCCAGCACCCCGAGACCGCTTCACCCAGGCCAGGATCGAGCACCCAGTAAGCGATTCCGACAGTCCGGATGTCGACGACGATGAGCCGTTGCAATCCGACCTGGACGATGATGATTCCAGCGACGATGATGACGATGACGAGCCTGCCACGGTCCATCGCCCCTACTCCGCTCTGCTCCAATCTCTCCAGCAGGACATCCCGGAAGGCCCTAGGAAAAAGAGGAAGCTCGACCACCAGTCAACTGCCACCCCGCCGCCCGCCGGACTGGACGAGGAAGAGACCGAGCCCGAGGACGACGCCGACGAGGATGACGCCGCTGCTCCCGAGGACGGTGTCGATATCGACGACGACGAGGAAGACATCTCAGACCCATTCGAGGCCCATTTTGCACGTCCCGATGAGAACGAGCTGGCTAAGAAATTAAAGGCTGTTTCCGAGAAGCGCTGGGAAACACGCAAGTCTCAACTGCCTAGTCTCGGGAGGTGTACCGTCCTGACCCCCGGTGCCGTGGAACCTTTCAAGAAAGCCGTCTCTTCCCCCGAGCACTTGCATATCAAGCGGAAACTCGCCACCAGAGCCCAGGAGCTTCTGCCCCAATTCAACGACATTCAGAGAGGGCTGGCTGCGCCGTTGTTTGCCTACCAAGATGTGCTGCTTGGAGCCAGGACACCCGGAAACGCAGAGAGCCTTCGTCAAATCACCTGTCTGCATGCGCTGAACCACATCTTCAAGACGAGAGACAAGGTCCTCAAGAACAATGCCCGTCTTGCAAAGGAGCAGGGGAGCGAAAGCCTCGAGCTCAGGGATCAAGGTTTCACCAGACCAAAGGTTTTGATGCTGTTTGAAACGAGACAGTACTGTGCCAAAGCCGTCGAAACCATCATGCAACTCTGCGAACCGGAGCAGCAGGAGAACAAGAAGAGATTTCTTGAGAGCTTCTCGCAGGATGAGAACAGATTCGAGGACAAGCCTGAGGATTTCCGGGAACTCTTCGAAGGCAACGACGATAACGAGTACCGCATGGGCCTGAAGTTTACACGGAAAACCGTAAAGTTCTTCTCGGCATTCTACAACTCTGACATCATCTTTGCCAGTCCTCTGGGCCTCCGCAGAGCCATTGAGGCCGGCGGGAAGTGAGTCGCCCGCAAATGTTGCATTATATCCCCGGAGCTAACATCTTCTCCAGCAAAAAGAAGCAAGATTACGACTATCTCTCCTCCATCGAGCTTCTCATCGTAGATCAGACCGATGCCATGCTCATGCAAAACTGGGAGCATGTAGAATACGTCATTGAGCACTTGAATCTCCAACCCAAGGACTCCCACGGCTGCGACTTCAGTCGCGTCCGCCATTGGTATCTTGAGAATCAGGCTGCGCACCTGCGCCAAACCGTTGTCCTCTCAGCTTATCTGCAGCCCGAACTCAACAGCATCTTCAACAATCACATGCGCAACGTTGCCGGCAAAGTCAAGTTTCAACCAGAATACGAAGGTTCCATCCTGGACATTGGTCTCCAGATCAAGCAGACGTTCTCGCGCTACGACTCCGTCTCCCCGACCTCGGACCCGGACGATCGCTTCAAGTACTTCACCAGCGCCATCGTCCCCGCATTGACTCGCTTACCCAAGCCTTCCGAGGGCGGCCAAGGCGTCCTGGTCTTCATTCCCTCTTACCTTGACTTTGTGCGCGTGCGCAACTACTTCGCCAACTCGACCGCCACGCAAAACATGTCCTTCGGCGCCGTCTCCGAGTATACGGAGCAACCTGATGTGCGGAGAGCGCGCTCGCACTTCCTGACCGGCCGCCACGCCGTCCTGCTGTACACCGGCCGCGCGCACCACTTCCGCAGGTATCACGTCAAGGGCGTGAAGCGTATCGTCATGTACGCGCTGCCGGAGAACCCGATTTTCTACAAGGAGCTAGTCGGTGGGTTCTTGGGCGGTTCGATCGCGGAAGGCAAGATTGACCCGAGCGAAGCCAACGTGCGGGCAGTGTTTTCAAAATGGGACGGGCTGAGGCTGGAGAGGATTGTGGGCACGAAGAGGGTGGGTGGCATGCTGAGGGAGAAGAGCGGTGATACCTTTGATTTCGTCTAAAAAGCGTACTTTACTTTTGCTTCAGTATGTAATTTAAAAGCCTTTTCTGGTCTCTCGTGGTTGGAAGGGTGGCTTGAGGCCAAAAATGTATTCTTATGGTGAACTCGTTCTCGTGGATACTTGCTCTAACTCGTGCGTCCATTTACGTCCATGTCCGAGAAAAGCCTTCTTTCCACGCACTTTCTCCAACGTGCTCTACTACATAAACTGCATCTGAAACTGCGCACCCACGCAGGCGGTATAAGGTTATATCTAGTCGTCCTGTTAAACTCCAAAGAGTCAAATGCAACAAAGAGAATTCGTCAAGCTTCATCCCCGAACAACCATACACTCCACTCCGTCGAAGCCCCAAGTCCTCAACTCCCCGAAAGCCACCACCACCACCACCATCATTCACCCTCAACCCCCGCTATCATCTCCCCTCACCGTCGCCCACACCGCCACGACGAACCCGTTTCACACCCCCCGCATCATCATCACCATCGTCGTCGTCGTCGTCGTCGCCATCGTCGTCATCCACTTCCCGATACGGCGGCGGTGACGAATTAGCCACCGCCGTCACCTCATCATCCATCCGCCGTGCAACCACCGCCTCGCGCCTGCCCGCCTCCCACCCAGCCGCATAACCCAGCTGCTCCAACCCCGGCAGCGGCACACTAGCCCCGCCGTCGCAGCGTGGACAGCAGTAATAAGCCGGCGGCCTGACGTCCTCATGCCCCGCAACATCGCCATACCGCGGCAACGCATCTCCCTGATCTCCCCGATCTCCCTCTCCCTCGTGGTCGTCCTCCTCCTCACCACCACGCACAAGCGGTCCCCCTCCCCGCTCCCTCCTCGTCTCCCTCTCCCGCCGCACGACCCACACCCAACTCCCCGCCACCGCGCACGGCGCCACCAGGCTCACCCAGCGCAGCGCCCACAGGCCGAGCGGCGGGAACTCACCACCGCTGCCGTCGCTGCCGTCGCTATCGGCATACGCGGGCAGGGCGACGACGGCGGTCAGCGCCATGCCGAGGACGGCGCCGGCGTAGGTGGCGACGGCGGCGGCGATGGGGAGGAGGAGGTGGTGGTGGTGGTTGTGGTGGGCATGACGGCGGTTGCGGGAGCGGGAACGGCGGCGGGCGGAGAGGAGGAGCAGGACGAGGGAGGTGAGGGCGAGCCAGGTGAGGTGGGCGAGGGGGGTTTCGGTGAGGGTGAGGGTGTAGGTTGCGGTTTTTGGGTTGTGGGTTGTTGTTATTGTTGTTGTTGTTGTTGGTGTCGCTGGTTGGTTGAGGTTAGTGGGGTGGTTCGTTTGCATTTGCTTTTTTTTTTTTGGTTTATCTCTGGTCGGTTTCCCTGGGAGGGGGGGAGAGAGACAGAGAGAAAGAGGGGGGTAGGGTTGCTTACGCATGGCGCGGAGTTTCCGCTTGTGGGGTTTGCCGAAATCGGCGTGGACAGAAAGGGATCGGGGTTTATCAATTGGACAGACGACGAGGGTTTGGTCGTTTTTCCCCCAGTCTTCCGTAGAGTAAGTAGTGTTTCGGTTTTCTGCGTGAAATAACGATTGTTGCCAAAAGACACTCTTTAAAATATCCAACCTGGGGAAAAGCATGATGGGGCTGAGTGAGCACTTAAAAGCCCGTACCAGGCTCGGATGTCGGGACGGCGCGTCTCTGCATAGCCCTGCGGCTTTGTTACCTAGGCGGAAGGATTTATGGGGGCCGGATCTCCCCAGATCCAACTGTTGGCGTATGCAACCGCGTAACCAATGATCTCACCGCAGGGCTGATGGCAACAACGACTGTTGCTAAGCCTTGCTGCTGGCGCAAGGCAGACTCGGCGCGTGCTCCGAAGGAAAAGCGAAGAGCCGTCAGGCCACCAACCACCACACGTCCGAGGTCAGTAGCACTCAAATTGGAGCAGAGACGCGCAGATGGTCGTGGCCCTAATGATTAATTAAATCTATGCATACCTAAACAGAAGCGGGAAAATGTCAAGTCACATTTGGGTATCTCTCCAGCTCTTTCCTCCACTGAAAAGCCGGTATGATACACCGTCACATACGTTGATTGCGTTTCGGGAGGTCAAGAAGAGCAGCTCAACGAAGAAACATCACGAGACTACGGGAAAGAGGGGAAATGCGCGCCCAACGAAGGAAAAGAGGAAAACTCCGGACACACCATACCGTCATCTATACCCTACTAGCACACTCCCACGCTTCGTTGAACGAGAACCTACAGAAATGAGTCGTTTTTGATTTCGATTTTCATGCTTTGTTTTATTTTCCCTTGGTTGGATTTTTTTTTTGGCCATCGCATTCGATCATGAAGTCGCTGGCGGCTCGCCCAGACGCAGAGCGAGCAAGGCACGCAAATCTGTGACATGCTGAAGACCTTCGAGAAGCGGAATCAAATGTAGAAGGTCGTTATCTGTGGGATCGCTGATCCAGCCCTCTATCGGGATCGCGTTGTCTGTGTTGTGGGAGTGAAGTTAACAAAGCTATACTCGTCCAAAGCTTGATACGTTGGAGCATTACCTTCGTGAAAGATGTAACTCATGGGGCTGTTGTCTACAATCATGACTTTGCTGAGGTCGGGCTCGACTTGACTGAGGTCTTTGATGTACGCGCCGTTGCGGAACGTGCAATGTTGACGGTAGTAGCGGCCTGCAAAGTACTTCCGCTCCAGCTCCAGCCAATCAATCACAGGATCCGCATATTCTTGCACCGATGCCGTGAAAATGATCAGGTTGTACCACTTGGAAACCTTGCGCAGGAAATCGTCACAGTGTGGCCGCTTGTGCACATAGTAGAGGATAGGGACCTGGGGGCCGTACACCTGGTTACCGGAGCCCACCGTTTGGTTAAGTTTCACCTCAACCATGTGACCAGTGGTGTAACGGCCACCCTTTGCCATACTGTGGATCAATGTCTCGTCGAGATCTAGGATCAAAGTCTTCTCGTGCGGACCGAAGTTGGGAGGCGCATGTCTGCCCGAGTATGACGGCTGGCGGCGCGGGACGAGAGGCCGTGGCGGGACAGGCGCGCGTGGAAACTTGAGCTTCGAAGCAGAACCCGGGCTACCCGGAGACTTGACAGCAGCGGCCGCCGCCTCGTGAGGAGTCAATCCCCCAGAGGCCTTGGATGATGTGCTGCCCGTCCGTTGCTTGCGCTTCCTCAAAGTGTCCTCGTTATGCAGCTTGATTCGTATTGAGCGTCTTGCAGGAGCAATCTCGTCTACTGAAGACTTGGATCTCGTGTGTCTGGCGGGAGAGTCTTCATCGCGTGTCGAAGGTCTTTCACTTTCCGAATCCGAGGTCATGGCAACCGAGCTTGTTGTTGATGATACCGAGGGCGATCGTCGTGAAGACTTCCTCAGCAGCTTCCCGGTTCTTCTGTCGAACCGGTCATCGTTCCGTTTGTTCGTGTCATCATAGTCCATGCCGTGAACCGACCGGCTTCGTTTCTTGCGTGGAATCATGCGGGCGAGGCGATATAGTGGAAGCAGAGCAGAGAAATTGCCGTCATCATCGTAAAAACAAGTGGCAAGGTAGTGCACGGGAGCAATAACGGCAGCGAAAACCGCCCTGACACCACCGACAGCAGCGGTCGCAATGCGCTTCGGAATCATCCACACGCTCCACGACTTGGATGTACTTATGGACTCGGGCTCGTCCTGGGCGATGAGCGGGGTCTTCTCGTCTGGCGGCGCATCTTCCTCGTTGGCTTGGCTGTCGTCAAGACTCAAGCCGAGGCCCTTCTCCGCGAAGGCAGCGCCGACTCCGCGCTGGACATCCTCGGTGTAGCTCCTCCCACGAGTGTGCGAGGGTCGGCCGGGCTTGGTGATGTCGCTCTCGGAGCCGGCGCGAGAGCGTGGGGGGCTTGGTGGAGGTGTTGAGCCGATCGCCGAGAGGATGTTGAGCGAGTTCATAGTCCGGAGCAAGCCATGAAAGAACAGCAGAACGAGGCTATAGAGGAGCAGCAGCTTGAATCCCGTCTGCGAGCGGCGGGGATCGACGGTTGCGCTGCGCGGGAGCAGCAGAGCGGGAGCCCTCGGTGAGCGGGCGCGGGCTGGGGCGGGCGGCGGAGCGGCGGGATTGGGCAGGGCGCTGGGTGGTGAGTCGCAACGGAAGAGGCCTCGAAGGCGCGCCGGCGGATGTGGGCGAGGGCCGCCGCGTGTTCGTCGGGAATGCAGGAATGGTGTTGGGGCTGGCGGGAGACAGGACGGGGAGGCCAGACAGACTGTGGAGAGAGCTTCGTCCACGCCGCCCGCGCCAGCGCCAGCGCCAAACCCGGCGGGAAAACGCGAGCAGCGCCGCCGAGTCAGACAACAAGAGCCCGCCGCACGGTATTGCAAGTCCCAGCACCAGCAGCAGGACCTGCGCCAGCGCGAGACCCTTGCAGCTTGCGTTCAGCCCAGCTTGCAGCTGCGTCTGGTGTGCCACCGCGCACGTCGCCCGAGCGCCCGCGTCTGCTCCGCCGCCAAAAGTTCCGTCCCCACCACCGCCGCCCGCAAGACCAACGTCACAACCCGCCGCGAAATTTACCTCCACCCGCCGCACCCTCTGCCCGCCCGCGTCTGCCCGCCCGCGCCCGCTGCGACTCCACGCGCCGCCTCGTGCAGACCATGCCGTCTCCAACCATCACAAACGCGCCGGGCCTGGCTACGTTTTTGAAGTCGCTCAAGGCCCAGCCCGTCGAGTCATCGATTGAGCACTTCATTTCGTGAGCTATCCACCAGTACTTGCACCCCCCCGATGTGAACACTGATTTTTGGCCTAAGCCTCCTCAAACGCCGTCAGATCCGCAACTCGAGGCCGTGCGCCATCGCAACCGCCCAACTCCTCCGCCGCGTCGTGCAAGAATTCAAGGGAAAAGATGCCGCCAAGTTGATCCGCCGCATCAAGGACGTCGGCCAGCGCCTGACGGCTGCTCAACCACGCGAAATGTCCGTCGGCAACATCGTGCGCCGTGTGCTTGGCCTCGTCAGGGAAGTCTTGGAGGAAGGCGAGAGCGGCGCCGCAATGAGTGACGCGGGCGCGAGCACTCCCGGCCAGCAAACACCCCACGACTCGCTGCACCGCCCTGGCCTGAACTCGACTATTTCCACCTTCAGCCCGCTCAGGCACGGCCTCGCCCAGCCCGGCGATTTCACTGCGCACCTGGAGACGGCAAGCGACTCGACCGACCTGTCCCACCGACCTCCGCTCCTCTCCTCCCACACCAGCTACGGCGGCTCTCTGTTTGGCCTGTTCTCCCAACCCGAGGCTACCAATGCCAGCTCTCCCACTGGCACACCAGCCGGCGCAAGAACCCCCAGCGGCAAGGCTCCTCTTACCGCGGGAAATCTTGCTGGCCTGGGAGACGCGTCTCCCAAGAAGGAGGACCTGAAGGCCGAGACGCTGGAGGGTATCAACGAGCTTCTTGACGAGCTTGAGCAGGTCGACGAGCAAATCGCCGAATACGCGCTGCAGCACATTCATTCGGACGAGATTATCCTGACGCACACGTCGTCCATGACCATTCAGAAGTTCCTTCTGACGGCAGCAAAGAAGCGCAAGTTTACCGTTATCCACGTTGAGGCCTATCCCAATGACAGTGACAACACTCACGCCACCATCCTCACCGGACGCAAGCGCGATGAGGAGGATGAGGACAGCGACGAACGTTTCAAGCCACTGACCGCCGCCGGCATCACTGTCATCCTGATTCCCGAGTCTGCTGTTTTTGCCATCATGTCCCGCGTCAACAAGGTCATCCTAGCAACCCACGCTGTTCTCGCCAACGGCGGCCTCGTCGCTGCCGTGGGCGCTCGCACCATCGCAAAGGCCGCAAAGATGCATCAGACGCCCGTCGTCGTGGTCAGCGGTGTCTACAAGCTCTCTCCTGTTTATCCGTTTGACGTTGATGAGCTCATCGAGTACGGAGATGCCGGCGCTGTGGTTCCGTATGCCGATGGGGATTTCGTGGAGAAGGTCGACGTCGTAAATCCGCTGTTCGACTACGTTCCTGCTGATCTCGTCGACCTATACATCACCAACCTGGGCGGCCATGCCCCCAGCTATCTCTACAGAATTGTGGCGGACCACTACCGTGTCGAGGACGTCAACCTGTGAATGACGGCAGGATAAGCGTCAAGGTGCACGTCTATAAAAGGATCATGGCTACGGTGGGTAAGCAGCCACCGCAGTATTCCAGAGCCCTCAACGCCCGATCTTTGAGGCCCCACGACTCCAATCGGAGGGAGACGATCCGCAACGTGCCGGCTCAAAGGAAGTCGGGTCGGGACGGCTTGAATGATTAGGGCTGGAAGGGCGGTTGAGGCCAAAAAGAAATCAGATAAGACGAATCAAGCTATAGAGACCAAGTAGAGGCTGCAAATAAGCGCACATGAAAAATAAAATTTTGGAATCATGGACTGGGAAATACTTTCCGGTGACGCATGTGACGTTTGCTGCCAACAACTTCCGACACAGCAGGAAAATCACGCATTTCTTGGCATCACGCGGTTTGCAGCACGGAACTCGGTCTGCAATGTACCTTCGAACGGTCCAACTGACTAATGGCGATTCTGGCCTCTGGGAATGCGCTGGTATCTCCGCATGGACTTTCTCGTTACCTACTTGGAAGTGGACCAATGACTTAGTGCCGTTGCACCACTCCGAATAACTGGTTGATACACAGCCGCATCTCAGCTAACTAGACCCGCAGACCATTAGCTGCTCGTACATCCCCCACAGCTGAGTGTAGACACATTTGCCATTGGTTATGCAAAGGAACGTTCGCCACCTCGTCATTCATGTATGAACAGGAGAAACATTGCCGGCTGCATGAACCCAACAACGGCTTGTTGCCGGACTGAATGAACAACCAGGGAAGCCATTGGGTTCATTGATCTTGGGATTGAGTGGAAGAGTCTGTGTCTGCCCCGCCTCCATGGAGATATCCTTGCACCTGAGGAAAATGTGCGCTTCAGAAGCTATCAAACCTCTAGCTAGTTTCAAGGCAGTATTGCTAGAGGCCGGCCCAATGGAAGGGCATGCATAAGGGAGTTTCAAGATCATATATACAACAAGTCCGAGCAAGAAGAACTCCAGGCTTATACCATGTTTATCATGGTCGGAAACTTTAGGCGAACAAAGGTTCCCTTATCCTGGAATGGAGGCCGTAAAATTCGGGAAAGCTGACTCACTTACATCGACTAAGACACCGAAATCTGCGAGAACTACATGATCCTTATAGAAAAGTATACTCTTTGGTGAGGTGTCCTTGTTCCAGTTTCAAAGGAAGTGGAAACCCGTAGGTGTAGGAGTCAGGGAGCATCCCTCGCACCACATGTCCAGAGCCTCCGAAAATGGGCTTGTTTCATGTGATATTTCTTGACTTCGGCTACATGACTTTCTTCGCCATCCACAAGTCCGCGCACAGGAAGATGTAAAAGCAAAGTGTAATAAGCTAATAATCGATTCCTATAAGGTGGTGAAAGTAAGCATTAACTGTTCACCTTCTCCCACAGAAAGCGCAACGTGAGCAGCGAACCCAATATGGCTTAAGTAGAGCCCATTCGATCGCATTACTTTACACGACATAGTTGCGGGACGCTTCCCATTAAACCTTTAACTCTAGAGATATGCCCATTCTTGTCCGCTACGTGTTTTACAACGAAGCTGGATGTTCGATAAAGCTTCTAATCAGGAGCAGTGCCCATGCAATACTTAAATATCAATAACATTTTAGCAGTAGACTAAGAGGCTGGGCTGAAGACAACCCCAAGTTCCAGAGTGCAGATTCTACTATTAAATACATCGGGCGACCTGAGCCCGGGCCAAATCCAACCGGTCGATATACCCATCGACCCAAAGAGGATGAGCAAAAGAGACGATTGGCCGCAAGAAAGTTTGGACGCCCTACAGATGTACCGGGAGGGGGAGCTCGTCTACAGCCCAGAAGACCCGTCCCCCGCGCACCCAGACGATCAGCCGTATTGGAGCCTGGTGAAGGCCAACCTGGCCACGTTGCTGGCGCTCCAGTCAAGCCCATTCCCATTCGTTGGTACGCATACTGTCCGAGAATTGATGAAAACGCTGTTTGGTAGCAATCTTCTTGTGCTACTGGAACAGCCCAGTATTCGTTGGCTGTGTCGGGCTTGAACAGGCATCTGATGTCTCTCCTTATGGCGTTCAAGATTGGTTCTATTCGTTGCCAAAAAGAAAGAAATACACATTTCAACTCCTGTTCACGCATGATTGACATCTTCCAGAACGGCAAAAAGAACTTGCCGTTCGATGGAGAGGTGCATTGGAAGGGCAAAAAAGATGATCTTCTCCGCTCCCAGAATCGAACTAGGGACCTTTCGATCGCATTGAATCGCCGCTCCGAAGAGCTTATGATAGCAACAGATATTACAGTCGAACGTGATGAACCAACTACACCAAGCGGAGAAAGTTAAGAAGGTGGACCCTCTTTGCTCGGATGGAAGGTACGACCGGCTGCAAGATTAATGTAGTACGTGGGTCGTTCCTGCCAGAAACGAAGATGATTTCCAGCTGCGTGGTCGACCGCACTTTTGCCAGCGCCACGACGCCACACAGGATTGCTGTATAACTAGTCTGCTGCGAACAGTTCAAGCTAGCATTCAGCCTTAGCTTCGAGGCAAGTCAGAGTTGGACAAAGCAGTTCGCAAGCCTCGAAAGCCACGAGCCAGTGTTGGCGGCCCGTCTCCCACGAGAGCCAGAGTCACGAGGACGATGCCGAAGCGTAGCCGAGGCCGGTCAAGATGGCGAAGACCAAAGGTGCGCGCCACAAGGCGCTGGCAGGGGTATCCCTCGCGGGCGTGAGTGCGAACGTCTGACGGCTAAGAAGGCGATGGGACGATCAGCAAGCCTCACAGTCAGGCGAGTGCCTCAAAGGAGGCCTGTTCTCCGGAGCATTCGTGTCCAACGGGGCCAACGCAGGCCCTTGTCCTTCCAAACTCCGTTAGACGTCAGCAGCTTATGCGGCAAAGCAACACGAGGGGAAACCGCGACAACAACGACAACGACAACAGCGACAACAGCAACAACAACCGCCTGCGACAAGCTGGCCGTGGGCGAGGCGGATGACGCGCCAGCTCATTCCATCATCAGTGATCAGTGCGCTGCGCCGGTCAGTGCTGGTGCCGGTGCAGCAGAGAGCAAAACAATGCCGTACAGCCGACGGTCTGGAGCACGGATGACGGGGCGAGCGGAGTCGGGTCGCGTTGATTCCCTTTCGTATCGAAGGAAAAGGGGGGCTCGAGCGTAGCTTTCCACGTCATGATTGGGCGCCGTATATCCTTGTATCTCGTCACGGACCGCGTTGGGGAGACATGGTGATTCTGCCATGCGTGAGAGAGTCGTCTTGGTTCTGGACGACTTGACATTGGCAGATGCACGATGCTACCGCCACGGCCAGATCAGCCATTGATGTCCAATGGTGCGGACCGCCCATTCTGCACGCCCGGTCGTCTTGTTTTCCGAAGAAGCCGTCGCTGGCAGAAAAGATAGTACGTACCCGTTTCAACATCCTTGCTCGCTGCACCGCTATAGGTGTCCAATGAGACACCACAACGCCAGCAATGCTAGAGACATAAGCGAGCCGTTGCATACAATCCCATGGTCTCATTCCAATCAGCCTTCTCCAACACACCACCCTTCTCTCAGACAACCTCAAACCTTAACCCTGTCTTGCCCACTGTCCCTGCGGATCCGACGCCGCAAACCCGCCTCAACCCCGGCACCCGGCCGGCCAACACACGCGCGAAACTGCAGCTGTTGCAGCAATCGGAAAAAGAAACGAAAGCCATCGATCAAACGATAAGCCCAAAGCCCTCGATCTCACCGACCTGCTCAGCCCTCTCGGTGATCTCATTATCGAACCAACCCAATCTCACCACGTGCCCGGAACCACACAACCCTGACTCTGACCCTGTCCCATGCCAACTCAGGTTTCCCATCTCGACATGTGGCGAAAAGTAAAACAGAAGAAAAGAACAACAAAAGAAAAAAACGAACAATTGACGGCAAGCCAATCACCCACACACGTAATCAAACACCACGCACGCGCGCGCGGGCGGAGAAGCCGTTGTTACCGCGACAAGCGCGCCGCCTCCAAACCTACCTCCCGGCACATCCGTTCCTAACGTGAAAAAAGGAAAGAAAAAAAAAGCTCAGCCCAGCGGACGGAGATGTCCACCGCACATCGAACCGTTGATCCCGCCGCCGCCACCACCACAACCCCGAAACCCGGTTTCAAATCTCCCGCTCTCCTTCCATCATCCCTCCCGCCCCCCCCCTCTCGGGTACTAGGTATCTCTCACTTCCGGGAGATCCTGAAACCCGCCCGGCAATCTCCATTTCCTTTTGATCAAGCCATCAAACCCTTGCCAGCACAATGTACAGCCCAACGCGCTGATCATACGCGCGCCTCCCCCCCTCCTGCGCCTCCCCAACGGACGGGAAGAAAGGGACGATCCGGTTTCATGTTGATGTTATGTCCGATCCTAGTCCCTTGTATGTATGTACGTACGCGCGAGACAGAGAAAGAGAAAGAGAAAGCGAAGCGAAGCGAGCAGTAGAGAAAAAAAAAGCAATAAAAAAAACAATGCGTGATGATCAACAACCACATGACATGCCCACACACGGACACAGACACACGACCATTGCCAAGAAAGGAAACCCACGATAGGCACCGGAAAGAGAAGGAAAAAAAAAAAAGGGGTGGCAGGAACGATTGATGAGCGGCGCGCGAAAGAAAGAGCCGGTGAGAGAGAGAGCAGACCAAGGGCGGTGAGTGGTACCTAGGTACGGCAAGTGCGTGAAGGGGGGGCGGAGGGTGATCGCTTACCCAGATGGATGATGCCTCCAGCTGATCTATGCTTTTTTTCACCCAGACCATCTTCGGCTGGGGGGGCCATGGCACAAACCGCGTGTCCCTAGCGGGCAGCGTCACCGGCTGCTAAACGGTCGGTGAGAGAGAGAGCGAGCAAAAATGGTGAAAGTTAGTCCTTCTCCATCTCCGCATTGACCATGAGCACCCGGCGTAAAGGTGGCAGGTGAAGCGGCGGTAAAGCACTCGAAGGATGAAAGCACAGAGGGCCCATATGATTGGACGTGGACCAAAGCTCCTAGGTACTCTACACAGCTCCCATTCGTCCCTTCAGCCTACTAGAGTCAATAGAGGGAGCAGAGAACCCCAAAATGATATCACATCGACCCCGTTCACATATACCGTGTATAAAAAGACTGATTTTTGTTGCCTATGCCATAAGATAAGAAGACAGGCCTCCACACAGTTGATAGTGGAAGGCAAAGACAGCAAAGGCTGCCAGAAACCGACGAAAGCAAACAGAAAACAAAAAGTCATACTAAAACTTGGTCTTGTCTGAACGCCTTCACCCATCATGCCAACTGACAAATCCTATCACACTTCTCCCGTTCTTACTCATCAACGTCCTACCGATGAAGCAGTAAAACAGCGCTGAAACGCAGAATAAAACAAGACGACTATCGAATAAACGCTCTCCCTCTCTCAGAACTCGACAACCACGCGCACGAAGCAGCAGGCGCAGTCAACGCTCAGATTATGAGGTAGTAGAGGCAAAGGAGGAAAGGGCGAGAAGATTAGAGGCCGCTGCTCTGGCGCAACCGAGCTTTGGAGAGAGAGGGAAGAGAGAGAGAGAGAGAGAGAGACTGAGGAAACCACAAGAAAGAAGAGAGCCCCCAATTAAAATTTCGATCGACAAGAACGCCGGTGCTTGCAGCCAACAACGAACGCGGTGTCTGCTGAGTGCATGAGCGTGAAAAAGTCTAACAGTACAAAAAGGCGCTTTTTTTGGTGGTTGGTTCGGTAGTGGTGGTGGTAGAGAGTTGCTTCTTGAGTGATCCTTCTTCCTATAAGAACACCTCCGCAAAGATCCGTGAAGCGAGCCGTTGCAAGAAATTTCCCATTAGTGGTTCGACGAGCGTGGAGACGGCGAAGGAGGAAAATCGATCAAGCGGTCCCCCCAGAAGCTGCGCCCCTACACCCACGTAACAACAGAAAGACGATTATACTACCAAGCCGGCCGTGAGAGTGCGGAAGAGAAAGAAAAACAAAAAAGCTCCAGAAAGAATCGTGGACACATCCAGGTTTGGGGGTGGACTAAAAGCAGTATGTATGACGAGAAGGCTCGCAGTGCGCCAGCCAGCCCCACAGGTTGCGCACCGCGCCCCCCCAATATGCATGTTCGCGCGAGAGTAGAAGACCAGATGACAGAGAGCCCGATGGCAGATGCGGAAGGATTAGGAGAGGGAACAGCCACCGGGAAGATGAGAGGGTATTGGAGGCGGCCGACTCGACAGCCACTTCAAGTCCGTTTCCATGCTCATGCCGACAAGGAATCGCGGTTGCCCGCAACTTCACAGAACGTCAATGCCGAGTCTCAATCAGAACGGCGAACGTCATCGAACCCCTCCTCACTCACCGCAGCACAGCGTGTTGACAATCTTCTTCCAGACAGAAGGCTTCTGTTCAGCCGGCTGCGGCCTGTTACCCGCCGGCGTCGCCTGCGCGTTTCCCTGCATCGGACTTTGCGTCGTGCTCATTCTTTGCGGCAGGTTCTGCTGGCTGTTTTGAAACTGTGCTGCGGTTGAGCCTTCGGGCGCTGCGATGTCTCCTTGACTCTTTCTCTTCATATGGTCGGGTTGGTATTTTGCTACGTCGGTCCGGGATGTGTGCCTTGCGCCTCCCCCCGGCGGACGGGAGGCACCGGGCTTTGGGAGTTCCGCATCAAGTCTTCCGGGCGGCATGGGCGTCTTGGAACCGCGGGCCTGGCCGCCGTGAATCTCGCGGGCGGACGAGTTGGGCACCGCGTTGGCGTGGTGCAGATGCGCGGCGGACGCGTGGCTCTTCATCGACTCCCAACCCTTGCCATTGTTGATCTTCATCCAGTCATACTCGCCATCCTCGACATCACCAGTGCTCTTGAGGGCCTGGGTGAAGAGCTCACGCAGGTAGTCGTAGTCAGGGGTGTCCTCAAAGCCAAGGTTGCGGACATAGCTAAGGTACTTGTTGAACTCCTCTGTGTCAAGGGTTAGCGTGTTTATGCCGTATGGGTACCGGAGTACTAACCAGGGAAGCCGTCACACAGGTCTTTGATGGCAGTCGTCTGCTTCTTCTCTCCAATCTTCTCATACTTCTGCTTGTTGGTGGCAGCCTTCAGGCCCTGCCATGGGAGGCCGCCCCGCAGGAAGTACATAAACACATGGCCCAGAGCCTCCAGGTCATCTCTCCGCGACTGTTCGCGACCAAGATGGGTGTTGATACTCATGTAACGGGCCGTACCAGACAGCGACTTGCGTTCTCTGTAGGGAATGTGCTGCTTCGTCTTGGGGTCACGGTACTGCTTGGCCATACCGAAGTCGACGACGTGGATCACGTTGGCAGCCTTGGTGCCAGGGCGGCCAATCAAGAAGTTGTCGGGCTTGATGTCGCGGTAGATCAGGTTCTTCTCGTGGATGGTCTGGACGCGAGACAGCTGCAGTAAATGTTAGCATATTCAAGGGTCCGAGGATGGGACCCAGGAAACGTACCATCTGCTTGGCGACCATGACGACGGTCTTGATGGAGAAGCGGCGGTTGCAGTGGTCGAAGAGATCCTCCAAACTGGGACCGAGCAGGTCGATGACCAGGATGTTGTGCAGACCCTCTTGGCCGAAGTAGTAGACATTAGGAATGCCGGCTGTGGTGGTGAGGTTAGCACGGGCGAACAGCGACGAGCCGGGGCAGGCATCTTGCGATAATGGTGAGGAAACGTCTTGGGCTTACTGATCGTATCGCCGGCGGGCTCAGTCGGTGCACTACTACGCTGCGTGACGAGCCTGCGTCGCGAGTGATCGTTTGCGCCCTTGACGCAGATGAGCAGGTGTGCTTGAGAAAAATGTCCACTTACGGCAGCCCACGAGAATTTTGTATGTGCGGTATTCGTCCCTCAGCTGAGGCGCGTCCGACTTGCGGGGTTCCTGCAGCACAGCGCGTTCATGTCAGCGGCGTCGGGAGGGCGGCTTGGGTGGCCCGGCCCCTAGAGGGCGACGCGGAGGGAGACTCACAAACTTGATGGCGACTTGCTGGTTGTTGAGCAGGTTGGTGCCCTCGAAGATGACGCCGAAGGAACCCTAGAGCGGTCAGTTCGGTCTGGTGGTCGCGCTTTTGCAGACGGGCCCGGAGAGCGACGGCGTACCTCTCCTATCTTCTTGCCGACGCGGTAGTGCACGCCCACGACATTCGAGGACGAGGAGGCCATGGTTACGAGAGGCTGCCGTGGGGGATCAGGCTGGGTGGGCTGGGGTCGGGCGCGAGGAAGAGGGAGTCGGGCGTGGGAGCGAAGACGTTTCGGGTGAGGACTCCTGAAGACGGACGGGCGGTCGCAAGAATGGCGATGCGAGTCGTCGCTGCTGCTGCAGGCCGCTGTTGCCGGGCGGGTCGGAGGGCGGAGAAGGGCAACGCAGGTCTGGCGGACGACGGGAGGAGGCGTCGAGCCGTGGGCGTGTGGTGATGGTGGAGGACCGCTGCGGTGAACGAACGGGGAGTGCTTGGGGTGGCTGCTAGACCAGAGGCTGGTGCTGGTACGGAAGCGGCCTAGGTCTCTCAACCTCGCCTAGCGAGGTCGAGCGCTGTCAGTGAGCCCGCTTCGCGCCACTACAGGGCCTGTCGCCCGCCTGCGCTCCCCGCCACGCCGGCGACGAAAAGGAGATGCCGCTGCCGCTGCCGCTCCCGCCAAACAGCTGCAGGAACATCCAGCGCAGCACGCAGGCATCCGCGGCTCCGCGCGCCTCTCCGCTGCAGCGCAGCGCTGGCGGCGTGCTGCTGCTGCCAGCGCGCAGGCCCCAGCCTGAGGCGGCCTGACGCCCCCCCCGGGCCAAGGGCGAATCAAACGACGCGCAACGGCGGCCATCCCGGCCAGAGGCCGTCAGTCGCGCCGTTTACTTTGGCGCTGTTCCTTGGACCCGCGCAGCGACTCGCGCCGCCTGCGGCTGACCCTCTTCTTCTGGAACGCGCCGCGAACTCGGAAGCCTGGACACCAACCAGGCGCCAACGGCCCCCTGGCTCCGCCAACACCATCCAACGCGCCGAAGCGCCCACGGCCATTGCGAAGCGAAGAGATGTACATAGGCATATAAATAACACTCTGCCGCCAGCCCTGCGCCCGCGCCGTCCACGCCAATTGCATTTTGGAACCGCCCGGAAAAAAAGAGCTTGACGCTTAGCCGACGCCGCTGCAAGCCCCCGAAATAATGCACGGCCGAAGCAAGTACCACCCGGTTGCTCCATTTGTCCTGCCCATCATCCTCAAACTTCCCCATCGGTGTGCCGACGAGGCCATGGCCGCAGTGGAGCGCCCGCTACCCGGTTATGTATTTTACGCTCATCATTGCCCGCTTCCGTGCCCTCATGCCCTACGAAAACATGCCGTATTGTTCATTCCTCCATCGGCTCACCTTCAACCTCGCTCTCTTCGTCGTCGCCCTCGAAGCCTCCCGACTGCAGCACCGCGTCTGAGTCTTCCATGGTCGCTGCCTCTTCTTCCTCTGGCTCCTCTTCCACCGACTCCATACCCCCATTGACCCGCGCCTTAGCACGCGGCGTCACGTCCATGTCTTCCTCCACGACCTGCAAGCTGAGCCCTGGCCCCTGCGCATCCAACTCCACATCGTCAAACGCCTGCCTTTTGGCGAGCTCCTTGATCGATCCGTACCAGTAAACCAGGCGACAAGTATCCAGGAAGCCCACTAGATCGTCATCATCCTTGATGTTGTCCTTGATGATTGGGTCTCGCAAGTCCTCCGAAGGGAATCGCGATTGAAGCTCTTCGGCCTGGCATCCAGCCTCACGCACATCCAACGGAGAGAGTAGGTGCAGTTTGGGATTGGCGTCCCAGAGACCTGGTTCATCTGTTAGCGAGATAATACGTGTTAATCCTAGTGTGGAGGAACGCATACCAGTTTGGTAACCCTGCTTCAGGGTCCAATAAACCAACGTATTCTCCAGCGCCAACTGCACCTGCTCATCCGCCCGCTGCGACGTGTTGTTAATAGCCTGCCAGTCGTCGCAGAGAAACGTTCTCTTCCAAGCGAGCTTCAGGCTTGCCTCCCAAGTGACCGGATCCAAAACACCATGTGCCGCAGCCAGAGCCTGGAATGCCATGAAGTTCTGGCGTCCGCTGATGTCTTGGGGGCCCGGCTCGTGCTGTGCGTGATCCATAAGCGTAAGGACATCGATGAGCAAGCCAGCATCCAACACGCGGTGTGCGATGATCTCCTCGAAGCCGCGTTTCAGCAGCTGTTGAAGAGCAGGCCTGTCTTTGACAAAAAGAGTTCCGTAGTCCATCATGACTAGATCGATGGCTGAATCATCGTCAAGCGCTCCGTCGATCGTTGGCTTGAGGTGCTTATACACCTTCTCTTGTAGCTCGAGAAGCCGCAACTCGCTGTTGCACTGGTTAAGCCTTGCATTGGTAGCATCGGTGCTCTCAATGGCTTCCGCTTTGTCTCCAGATGTGGCGGCCAGAAGCGAAAGCTTTGCGAGCGATACCTCCACTTTCTTGCTCCAATCGCGAGTCTCTTGCTGGGCACCTACCATCATGAGGGAGTTGCTGGCAGTGGCAAAGTCGTTTTCTCCGAGGACATCATTCACCCAGCTCAGCTTCGCATAAGCAGGATCCGACCGTAAGAATTTTGTGAGGAGCTCTTGTCCAACACCGCGCTTGTCAATCATCATGGCGGATTTGTGCAGCTGGATGTGGCTGGTGAATAGAGCATCCGCCCAAGCCTGACCAAATCTCTCGAAATAGTCGCGAATACGGGCCTCGAGTTTCTTCAAGGAGTTCTCAAAGTGACGCTCTTCTTCCTCATTCTCGGTGTTGTCACGCTCATCCCCGAGGTAGTCGAGTTCATCCCACACAAGATGTACCAGACTCCGCATATCCTTGAGGCGTTCGGCAATGATCATGCCGCTCTCTGCCATCCCGACCTTGGCAAGGGAGGTGACTTGTTCGTAACGAATGTTGTTTTCGAACTCTTGCCTGAGCGCTTGGCCCGTGGCGCGAGTCCTATCATCGGGTTGCGCAAGACACCAGCGATAGCGCTCCATGTGGACCTGGCAGCTCAGCTTGACAAGGCGTGGATTATCGCCTGCAACCTTCTTAGAGAAGGGTAGCTCACCCTCATCCTCGGAGATTTGCCAGACCATCTCCCTTGCCAAGTCCACGAGCGCCCGGATCGAGTTGACGATGTTGGGGTTGGATGTCCAAGGCAGCGGTAATCCCTCGTATCCAACGGTGAGGATGTTGTAATCGAGCTCTTCCGCTTCCAAGCCATAGTCGAACAGGTGATCCCGTCGGAAAATGAATGCCTTCTCCAGCGCGTTGAGGCAAATGTCATCAGCCTCGCTGACTAGCAGAATCAATGTTCTGTAGTCTTTGATTCCTTCCTTGTAGATCTCCCTTACTGAGAGCTGAGTCCACGGGATCATGATGTGCATCTTTGACACGTCCTTGACGAACCACTGTCGAACAGGATCGAGCTCCCCAAGCTCCGGCCTTAATTCAGATTTATGCTTCTCGTGGAGCATGTCGACGATCTCGTCCAGCAAAGGGTTGTGGGGGGACTTGATTTTCAGGCGGCTCTCGTAATGATCCCAGACTCCTTGAGCAGATGCCAATTTCTCAGCATCCCAGAGCAACTGCCACTTTGTTGCGCGCATCAACGGCGGGTAGTTCTCCTTCACATGCCTTGCAAGGTTGGCCAAGGCCCCCGCCCTGAGAGCAAGCTGCTGGGTCTGCGATGCTAACCCAACTGGGATGTTTTCAGAGCTTGAGTCGAGAACTTCCCTGCTGATATCAAGTACTGCCGTGTCAACCTCTTGGCTTTCAAATGTGAGTTCAGGCTTGGCTGAGAAATCGAATATGCTTTCCGAAGAGCTGCCAAACCATATCGCCTGAGAGATTCGGCTCTTTGCCGTGGGGCGCAGGCGCTCAGGGTCTTTACCATCCAAGCTTGGTGGGGGAGCTGCTACTCGGATAGCTCCAATTCCTTGAGTGAACAGCACACAGCTGGACTGCTTCGTCTTCCGGGTAGACTCCTCCAATGTGTAGCCGACAAAGCGCACGTTCTTCTCCCTGCGGAAGTATATCACATCTTGGAAAGGTTTAGGCGCAGTCCCAACGTCGACCATTAGCTGAGCGTCGGGCGACTCATTAGGCTCAACCAAGGACGTAATTACGACGGCGTTGCTGAAGACCGCGAAGGCTGTGTGACCTGGAGATGGAACCAAAAGTTTGCCTGTTTCTGGCCCTTGCTGCATCGAGTTTCCAGCGAACTTGTCAAGCGCTATCATCCTCGCCACCTTGGCCGCGCTTCCAAAGAGGTCCACCTCCACAAGACCATAGCTGGTGCCGGCCCGTCCGGATAAAGCAACAAGTGCCAAAAGTCCAATACCGGCCGAGCCTGCGTCTTCGAATCCTTGGGTCTTTGGTTCGCTTAGTATGGTGAAGTCCAGTACTCTGGCAGACATGCCGTTGCCTCTCATCTCCGGGATTACTCCAGTTTGGAATGACGCAACGATGTCCTCCTGGGCATCAATCTCTTCCTTGAGAGCGTGCTGGCCAGCCCAGTTCAAATCCCAGACCTGGAAAGAACCAGAACCTGTAGCCACCACCACCTCTAACTGGCCCTTGAGCTGAGATGGACGGACTTTCACCGCCGCTACATCCCTGTTCCATCCCGACCCAGAAAAGAAGCTGCTCAGGTTTCCAAAGAAGCTTGTGGAGCCATTTTGCGGCTGGCTGCGCAAGAATTGCACGCTTATCTGCGGTCGTCCTTGGGAGTCGCGGACCCTCAGCTGCGCCACTCGACCGGTGCTGAAGACCAATATGAATCCCGCGTGTTCGGCATCGACAATGTCCACTACCGTTTCTCCGGAGAGTAAGCTGCCAACGGAGCCCTCGATGCCTTGGCGGCGCTGCTGGAACAAGCCAAGGGCTTCTGCGCTGTCTACATTTTCCCAGAATTTGATTTTTCCGGACGTTGGGTGGACTACAAGCAGGCCTAAGTCGCCGGAAGGGCCTGTGTTTACAAGCGAGCCTACAGGGAGGGGCTCGGATCGCTTCAGAGGATACGGTAAAGCGAGGGTTCGGGACGAGGAGGGGGTGGGAACGGGTGTTGTGTAATCCCAAACGTAGGCGTGCTCATGGGTAAACGCTACGGCAAAACGTGTTGAGGACAACACGAACACGCGGTGGTTTTCTAGTTATGGTCAGCTCGTGCCTGACAACGATTGTCAGTAGCGCATACCGCGAGGATTCGAGCGCAAAGCTTCGGGTAAACTGGGGAGCTGTTTGAAGCTGTAGTTGGGAGAGTTGGTCTGTGGTGCCGGTCAGCATCCTCGCCGCCATCGAAAGCCTACTGGGCCGTACCAAAGTGATGCTGCCGTCGCCCTTCACGCTTCTTGTGGGCGCCCCCGAATGCTTCTTCTCGCGCACCGGCATCTCGTGTCGCAACGCTGACCGCCGCTTCTCGTCTCCGTTCACAGGGTGTCCGTTCAATGTTGACGAGCCATTGCCGTTGACCGCAGGGCTTTCCGAGTCGACCACGGTGGGTTCCGAGATTTTGCTGCGCTTACGGTCGGGCTGGTGCTTTGCGCTGTCAGAATCGTGACGTTGCCGGCGCCTGGGGTTGCGCGACACGGTGCCATGCACGCCGTGGAAGGAAGCGTCCGGCGAGAACATGGTGGCGCGGGGCAACGGCGACGAGACGCGATGCGCGTTGTGGGTGGAGGGGAAGGGGGGGCGGAGCTGGGTGTTGTTTTCTCGAAGCTGTTCGGCTCGTGGTTGCATGGATGCGCTCAGGCGCGCGGTGACAAGATCGGCGAACACGCGCTGGCGCCAAGACCCGCACTCCTACGGCACACCAGCAAGCCTGCCTCGTGGAATGTCCCAATCAAAAGTTCTCGTTTCGCATTTGTTGTAGGCGCTATCTACATACAGTCGTCGAACGCATCATTTTATCGTCAAAATCCATCCGTCTATCGAACGCCGCTTTGCATGCAACCGATTGGCTCCATCCTGCCCAAACAATCTATGACATATCCGCCGAGAGCTCCAATGACCCCGAAAGCAACCAAACTATTCCAAGCCGCGTGCACACCGTAGCATGCACGGCGAAAGCGTTCCACTAGCCGCCCGAAACTCCGTCGTGATGCAGGTAATTACAGCTGAATATCGTTGTTAAGGAGCCGGACTTCCTCTCCGGGTTTGAACGCAGGCAGTCCAATGTACGGGCAGCCGTCGCAGCGGAAAGCATCTCCCAGGGCGCAGTTACCGCAGCTCCCGACCTTGCCCTGGACCGTGAAGTCAACCTCGGCCAAGTCGTTAGTGTCCAACTTCATGGTATTGAGCGCCTTGTCGGCCTCCTCCCGCTTGGCCTTGTCTTCCGCTTCGATCTGCTGCGCAAGTCCGCAAGTACAATCCTTGCACGCGCGTCTCCGCTTGCCGACCTTGGGACGACACTCGGGTGCTACCTCTGGGTCAGCTACACGTCAAATGCACACTGGGACGCAGATTGGGCAACTTACGAGGCATGACAGGCCTCATTTTATCTTGCTCAGTCAGGAGATCATCCTCGTCGATCAGATCATCGTCATTGTCGTCCTCCCCGGTCACCACAGGCTCGCCCAGATCGTCACTAAAATCCACAAAGCCAACGCCTGCCGGTTGCGGAGGCTGCTGCGATATACTCTTTCGCTTGCCGTTCAGTGGAAGCGGGACGGCTCCATTCTCCGCAGCGGGGGTCTTTTTCTTTCCGAAGCGCAAGGGAACGACTTGTTCGGCGGCTGTATTATCCGGCTTGACCATGCCGTCTCCGTCTTGGTTCACAAGCCCTGCAAGAATGGCTTCCGTCTTCTCCGCTCCCTCGGCGCCGAACTTGCCATCCTCACTGCGGAATTTGCCTCCTGGTCTTAGAGAATCCACGAGCTTGCTGAGAACGTCCCGGCCGAGTAGCTTCTGGCTCTCGGTGCGTGTGCCATCGGCATCGGTCAGGAGGAGAATGACGTCGTAGGTAGAGGTAGGAAGGGTGACGAGGCCTACAACCAGGCGGTCGAGCATTTGCAAGTCGGTCGTGGAGCGGTCATGGTCCTCGAATATGCGGTTGAGCGATTCAGGGTGCGCAGCTATAGAGGGTGGGGCCACGAGCAGCGTGCGAGAACCGGCGGCGGCTTTGGTGGGGTGAGCAGCGACCGGGGCGAAATCTGAGGATAGGTCGAGCGTGACAGAAGGCGCCATTTCCGAAGGATTCAGGCAAGAGCGAGGAAGAACAGTGAAAGAACAGGGTCAGGAGGCAAGCAAAATTTATGGTCGGCCCAGGTGGTGAGCGTCGCGTCATAAAATCAAGGGCAACTCCGTGGAGAGAGGGTCGTTTGTAATCAGTTTTGGCAGCGCTTCGGTGGAGCGACGCTGCCCACTGCCAAGAAACTGGTGCGCGGCGGAACTGCAGCGCGGCAAAATTTCCAGCGCCGTTGCGGCCTCAGAACCCAGGCACAGAGCTAGTCCGTAGCCAGACTAGCGTGTAACGAGACTGCGCTATGCTCGTTTGGTGACGACAGCGCTGGCGCCATCCACAGCATCGAAATGCGGGGAAAGCTTGCCCATGAAGCTCTCGCCGTGTCTGCCGCCCTAGAAGACGGGGTGTAACCAGCCCCCACGCGTGCTTCAACAATGGCGGCAGGATAGGCAAATCAATGCTGATCTTTGTGATGGCAACGGCGAGCGGGCGTCAATTGCGGAAGGTGGCGAGCGCAGCCAAGGCGGTCGGGCAGGATGACGTAAGTTCCCCGGATCAGCGTGGACGCGGGCAGGCACGATTGCGGGCCAGGCAAGTGTGAGAAGGGTCCAACACGTCCGCTTCCATCTCTGCTCTTTGCTGCGGCGGGGCCCGGCTCGAGCATGTCGACGATAGATTGCTGCTCAGAGTAGCATGCCACCGGGGGTGTCGGTCACGGCATGCCATTGGGGCGAGCTCGGCCGACATGGCGCGCGGCTGCTCTTTCTGACGCAGCTGCCAAACGGGCCGTTAGCAGACTGGTGATGGCAGCATCGGCGTGAGCTGAGAGGCGGGGAGGCGCAGTGGGCAATGCGCGCAATAACTACCCCGCCCCCGGCCTGTCGCAGCGCTGTCGAGCTGCTGCACTCGCGTGAGACCTCCGCTTTTCGACGTGAAGCACACCATTCCGTCAACACGCACAGCAATCCACCGACCGTCCCCACGCCCGCTTGCGCAAGACGAGCCGGCTGCATCCGCGGACCCTGCTGCAGGTACGAATTCATCACACGCCGCGTGCCTGCCTGGGTGGCTCCACTCTCAGTCGCTGCCACGATTGGTCCGTGCAAAGCTCCCAAAGAAGGGGTCACGAGAGCAGAACCCCGTCGAAGATACATAAGGGCATTCCGAAGACAGCTTGCCTTTCCCCAGCCTCCAGCTTCACTGCTTGATCACACCCGCCTCACCGCAACCGACTTCAGCATTGCACCCTCAATCACTCTCGTCTGAAGTGAGTCTACCTCGTGTCCGTCCCGTCCGCCATTGCCAACTACCTATGGCATGACCTATCCCCACGAAGCTGACGGCTTCACGCTCGCTCCCTCAACCGGCTGGACACCCCAATTCTAACGCGCGACAGACTTCTCTAGATCCACCACTGCACTCACCATGACTCGCACCCACAAGGCCAATGACCGTGAGCATGCCGCCGTCACCCCGGGTGTCACCCAGGGCGGCCACCAGGAAACACCTCTGCCTCGCTACTTCGCAAAGCATGGCCACGTCGACTCTGAACCGAACAAGGTCAAGAAGGACGGCCATGGAAAAGCCAACTGGTAAGCGTACCTCTTTTTCTCCCCCACCCTAACGGTTCTGCTCCGCCTTTGGCTATTTAGGCCACGTTCACCTACTCTCTTGCGTCAACCCCGCCCTCTATTGCACCATATTCGACCCCCTAATCGTGCCCATGCATTCTGCGTTGCGTTGCCTGACACTAACGGTCTGTTCTAGGGGACGCGAGGGTGATGAGCTCGAGGACTACGACTACAAGTTGACGAACCCCCGTCGCCGTTCCAACAGCATGACTGCCCACAACATGAAGGACTTCAAGACCAAGTTCGAGACCATTGAGGCCGAGCCCGTCTTTGAGGAGGAGATTCACGGCCCGCGCAGCGAGGACCACGTCAATCTCGAGAAGATGTCGACGAGTGACAGTAGCAACACCGACGGCAGCGTGCACGAGGAGGACGCGGCCCACAAGACAGCTTAAATGACGGCATTCTACGGGATGGATCGACTTTGCGGCAATGGAAAGTCCGCGGTAGTGGTGTAGCTTCTTTGGCTTCGGTTCCAGCAATTCTCGGATGGCTTCGGATATGGCTGCTAGAGCGTGTTGCTGCTACTACGATGACTCTTACAGAAAGGATCACAGGCTGATGATGTGATCTGGGGGTTTCCATGGCTGCTGCCTGGTTCTCTGATTGTTTTGCTACTTTTCTTATTTCTTTGCTCGAGGAGGCAACATGTACAACAACTCGCGTTAAACAGTGACGAATGAATGAATGTCTGGTTTTCCAAAATTTTAGATTGTTTGAGGTTACAGTTCCGCTCTCTCTCTTCGACGTTGAGTCGTGGCCATGCGCTACATCTCAACAACAGTCCGTGCACATCCCTCGTATACATTCCAGACGATTCTACCGACATTCCGAGTTCTCCTTGCGGCAGAGCCCATCGACAATGACGTTATCATCACTCCAAGCGATATCCTCTGTAAATCGGGCCCAAGTTGTGAGGCCCACCTCGGCCACACGGATAGAAGGGCGTCGAAGTTCAAAGGAAGGCACCGACATTTCCATATTAGGCAACCTTTCCACGCTCTCACAAGTCCTTATCTATAGCTATTCATGATAGTCGATACATGTGAAGCTATAACACAAGCAAACTACGGCACGAGCCGAACGGGGCTTGGAATAGTGTATCTGGATCTCACTGTTCAATACTTCTTAGGGGGCTCACGTCCGAACCAGGGGCGTGAAAGCCCCCGCCGCGTTCTCATAAACGAATACGTCGAAGTCCTGACCACCCGCCATACAGATATCAGAACCCGTGTCATGGTTCATTGAACCTGTTGGGATTCAAAAGTAGCGAGCAAGATATACGGAATGTTTACACTCAAGCTCCCGTGAATTTCAATTCTGCATAAGAAATCCTCAAGAAAGCCCTCTAAGACCTTGCTGTGCACGCAACTATTTCAAAGCTGCCTATGGCCAAGACAGTCGTGACTTCAACGGCAGAACAGGGCTTTGAGCCATCATCCAGAGAAATTTCCCCAGACTCCCTCCGCCGAAATATCATTAGTTCCATCGTTCTCGCTGGATATAGAAAAAAAAAGAGGGGTGGCAACACGCCGATGTCGTCTTGAAGACCATCAAGTAACAAACAC